AAAAGCTGAGAACCGGCTGTCCAGGGGGGTCCCTTTAAGCACGAGCCTCAGATAGCCTCAGACAGCAGCCACACAAAGCAACTACTGACCTGATGCCCTGCCAGAACCGGTTTCAGCTGCCCTTAAATGCCCCCCTGCGTCCAATCAGTGTGGACGCGCTAGTTCGAACTAGCAAAACGCTAGTTCGAACTAGTTTTTAGTTCTAGATGCATTAGTTCGAATTAGCTTAGTTCGAATTAACTAATTCGAACTAAGTTAGTTCGAACTAGCGCTGTAGTGTAGACGTACCCTCTGACTCCTGTAACCCTCATTTCACGAGAAGTAAGAGTACCTCTACACTGTACTGCTATTTTGGGACACTGGAGATATCCGGAAATAACTACTACACATCATAACGAGCTGCTCATTATTTTGAAATGGCATTTCAGCATCCCAGAAATCCTCGTTCCATGAGGGCTAAGGGATGTCTCAAAATAGCGCGTTATTTTGAAATCTGGTGCTGCATAGATGCACCACATTTCAAAAGTGACAAGGACTGAAAGCATAAGCTTTCATGGGCAAAGACCCACTTTGTCAGATGCTACAGTACTCCTCGTCACTTTGCAGATCCAGACTAACATGGCTACCACTCTGATACTTGACACCGAATTTCAAAATAGGCTCTTTTGAAATTCAATCAAAATCAGATATGTAATTTGCATAGTGCAGATTGCATATCGTATTTCGAGTTTAGGATGTTGTGTAGACGCACCCTAAGGAAAGTCTAAGGAAGACTGCTCTTTATTGGACTTCCAGCTGCATAGACAGCGCCAAAAGCCAAAATAAGCTATTTCAACTTCAGCTACACAATTAGCGTAGCTCAAGTTGTGCAGCTAATTTTGGATTTAGCCCTCCTGCACAGACGTGCCCTAGGTGCCTCGCTGTGTTGTTAAGCACCTAAACCCTGTGGAATTCCAGCCTTCAGGGAACAGCCCAGCAGCACCCGGGGAATCAGTGGCAGAATCTGGAACTGGTCCTAGAGCTCCTGAGTCCAGATTGGCTCAGTGGTTTTCGTGCCAACCTCCTTATCAGAGCACTTGTGAGCTCCCGCCCAGTCCTGCCATCCTGCTGCGATCAGCCAGCTCCTCTGATATGTCAGCCTGGAGAGGGAGACACGACATTCGGGGGAAACATTCCCAGCTGATGTCCTTTGGTGATGTCCTTTCTCCATTTATCCACTGTTATGCAAAGATGCACAGCAAGAGACAATCCCTGCCCCAGCTGAGATCAGGGCCCCATTGTGCTGGGCACTATATGTAAGCGGGGGAATGATCCCGCTATTGTGGGGAACTTTCCTGGCTTCTATACCACCTCGGTGAAATGGACCAGCGAAAGGATCTGAGTCCCCGCTCCCACTTCCTTTACCCCATGGCTCCCTGATCCTGAGGGCTCCCCTTCCACTCTCCTGAGTAGCAGAGCCCTCAAAACCCCAACAAGGCTGGGCCCAGGTTTCCTGGGGCTTAATCCCTGACCTTATAGTCACTAGGGGCAGGAGTTAGGGTGTCCCCACTCCGAGGTGCTCTCTTTACACTGCAGGCTTTCTTGGCCCAGTGATCACTTCATAAGGTTCAAAGCAAATACAATTTATTAAACAACAACTGATTAAAGAGAAAAGAATAAGAAACAATGAGAATACACAGCCCTGCTCTGTAGCACAGGGACATCAAAACAGCAGCCTGCAGAGTGTAAGGACAATCTCTTCCTTAGAGGCCCCTTAGAGGCCTTGGATGTGCTGCAGGGGGCTGCAGGCTGGACACGCTTGCTCTGGCAGTGACCACACAACCTCAAGCTCTAAGTGGCCAGACCCCTCTCCCAGTCCAGAGCCTCTCCCCACACTTTGCTGGTCCCAGGTGCTCACCACATCCAGCTGCAGGCTGTGCTGCTTGGCCAGTTCCAGCTCCTTGTGTTGCCTCTCTGTTCCTTTTGGCTTTCTGAGCACTGCCAGTCTGCTGCTCAACACAGGGTCTGCACTCCTTGAGATGTGTATGCCTGGCTCTGCTGTTGCAAGACTCTCTCTCCACACAGCTTGCACTCCTTGGGCTGTCTGTGTCTGGTTCTGTCGCTGCAGGACTTCTTC